TCAGGCATAGCAGCGATTGTGAGGAGGCTGCAGGACCATAGAGTGGTTCATTCTGCTGTGCGTAGGGTGGCAATATGCCTGAGCTGACCCCATGGCACCTAACTGCTACTGCATACTACATGGTGCTACATGCTACACTACAAACAAACAAACAATAAAAGCAATCTACAATTTATAGAAGAAAGTGGAGAAGTGATATTTGGTGAGAAAGATGAGATAACGTAAGTTAAACTTATTGAATTAGATTCCTCCAGAAAATACCAGTAACCCATGTTAGAAAGACTTCTCAGAGAAAAGTCCCAGTTTCGAGAAAAATAAAGAAAGAGAGAGAATTAGTTGGCTGCTGTGGAATCTAAAGTGTCTTCCAAATATAGACAATGTACCTTCCTAACCAAATCTAGAAATTCCACACTGCTTACCAGAGAGACGAGGCATGTCCACCCTCTTCCTCTGACGCTATCACTGAAACTGTTTGTCTTTGTGAAAATCTGTTGAGGGACACCCAATTCAGACTTCAGCTAGGTGTGGAACAATTATTTACGGAGAGAAGGACAATACGGACATTTTAAAGGTTTTCAGAATCTCAGGGGTTGAATCTCAGAGCTCCTCATTAAATAAATTGTTTCATTGTTCTTCTAGAGTCTAAACAATTCAACTCCCTTGGGTATGTAGAAGGAAAGAATGGGAATTTTCCAGCCAATCGAGTGCGAATGATTTATTGCCTTCAAGAGGAAGTGTTTCTATCTTCCATTTAATATTAAAATAACAAGAATTTCCCTAATGAACGTCTAACTTCTGCAAGAAATCAGACCTAAATTTATCAAGCTGAACATAGTCAAAATAATCAGGAGTAGCAATGTTGACTTTTGGTAAAATAGATATTAAAGTAAAAGACAACCTGACCTAAATATAAGGCTGATGGCTACATTTAAAGTCACAGTTGAACAAGAAGACATAACAATGATAAACATCTACTCACCTAATGAAAGACCTTCAAAATGCATTCATCAAACACTTATAGAATTTGATACAGATTGAAAAGCTTATAAAATAGTAGGAGAATTCACTATGCCACCCTAAGAAAAGACTAATTCACAGGAGAGAATATCAACAACAATACATAAGTTGCATAGTTAATCAACTTGATTTCTTAGACATACACAAAACACTATATGTCTACATATAGGTCCACAACAACACATTATACATTTTTTCCAGTGTACAAGGAATATACACTTGGATAGATCATATGGTACACTACAAATCAAGCACCAAAAACATTTCATAACATCAAGATACTACATGTCATCTTTTCAGATCACAATGTTCAAAAATTAGAAATCAGTAACAAGAAGATTAAGCAAAAAAATATTACACGGATTTTAAACAACACTTTATTTTAAAAACACAGGGCATTGTAAGAAATTAAGAGTGCAATTTTTAAAAATTCCTTGAAAGAAATGAGAATAAAAATACAACATACAGAAAATTTTAGGACACAGCAAAAGCAGTCCTCAACAGTCAAATTACAGCAAGAAGGGAACATTTCAAAAAATAAGAAAGTACCCGCCTGTTCCGGTCTCGCCGCCAGGGAGTATGCTGCTCTGCCGCGTGAATTCACTACTGTGCCGCTGCTGCCATGGCTCGTGGTCCCAAGAAGCACCTGAAGCGCGTAGCTGCTCCAAAGCATTGG